CTATGAAATTATATCAGATGGGTTTTTGTGGAGATTGTAGTAATTTCAATGGTTAAAATCATGAGTCAGTTGAAGCTAGACCACCATGGAAAACCTCGAAGCACTGGAAACATTGCGCAAGTCGGTTTACACTCTGAGTGTACATTTAATATAACCGTAATCTGCTAATACAATTTTGAAAAAAACATTTGCACAGAACTATACTGAAGGTGTATAATCTGAAAAATTATGATAAAGACATTGAACTCAGTACTAGAGAGTTTTAGTAAAATATGTTTTTACTGAAACAAAGCGTATTTATATTTTAAAAATAAGTTAGAGATAAATTTTCCTGGTATTGTTTTACTTGAATCTTCCCAATGATGTTTAGGACTGCAATTGATCAGTCTCTTATTGGTATATGTGCATACTGTGCGTATTGCCCCGATATTACCTTAATTCACAGGCATTATAGGCAACGGTGGATAGTGGCTAGGAGTGGAATTCAGGACACACGTTTCGTCCTTTTTTCGACTCGTCATCTGGATGTACCTGCATCCCTGAGTTTATGTTCACACTGGGACTCAAACCTAGTACATATACCAGTACATGGGATGGTTTAAGCAAACAACACCAAATGAATTTAAATTTCACCCAATTGCATAAGCAAGTGGCTATCATGACTCAGTTGCTAAGCGGCTACTGCGATGACGTTTGAAGTGAACGGTACTCGATTCGAGTCCCAGAGTGGACATCAACTCTGTGATGTGGATACATCCGTCTGACGAGTCCCAAGTAGAACGAAACGTGCATCCTGGATTCTACTGCTGGCCACTATCCATCTTTGCTTATAGGTTTAAGGTAACACTTCATAAATAAACTGTTGTACAACAATAATCGAACTAATAATTTCAAAACATTAAACAACCATTTCTCAGGTGAATTTATCGTAACTTATAACATTCGTTGTTATTCCTTATACTTTTGTTTCATTTTGTTAAATTTTAATTTATTCAATATTCATTGTCGTATATATTCATGAAATTGCTACTGGAGACCAACAACACTTAGAGTATATACTATCCAAGTAAGTACTGAGCTAAGGAAGCATATTATTTGATTTACATCAAAATTCTTCTGACTTTTTTTAAATCTATCAAAGGATCAAGATGGATAAGATTAACAGTGTTAAGATATCTAATGAATTAAGTTTAGTGTTAAGCGTTAATTATTCATCTAACAAAGATCCCAGATTCATCTGGAAGTAAACATATCTATAATTCACATTGTGGGAAATCTATCAAATTAACAGTCTTCAATATATGAATTAGAAATTTATTTTGTTGTATTTGTTAACAGCAATTCATTTTCAATAATTCAGACAAACGTTATTATCACTAACTATCCTAGTGAATCCGATTGTATTGATTTATGTGTTCAAAATAATTAGCAAATCTATAGGTCCCATTCGTCATAGACTCATTTCACTCTGGACACCAATGAAAACCAAAAATCATTGCCATAGGGTTCCAAACTAGAATGAAATAACTACACACTGTCACATGACTTTCAATGATATTCCAATTGAAATCAGTCTGTAGCGAATGGAATCTAAAAGTCCAATTAGTATCTACAAAGTCCCCGTTCAACTAAGTCATGATAATCAGCTCACTAGTAACTTACTTCTAGATAAATTGTTGAAGTTCTAATGTCAAGTTATAACTGATGGATTTCAGATATACCGACAATGAAATAGTTGTCACCTATGCTATTGAATGATTGTCATAAGGTATCGAACATTGACCTAAGTTGAAAATATCTACCGCTTGATCCCGACTCAGTAGTTCTAACGGTTCAATATTCACCTTATCAGCTTGAAGCACTAGGTTCGATCTCTGTTGTGATTATAGTTGTTCACTGTTGTAATATTCTACATCAAGACAAAACAATCGCCTCAACAAGATCCTAAATGTGATCAATAGTTGACGAATGCAACCTACAAACTAAATCATCTCCTTCAAAAAAATAACCCATTCAACCAAATGAAGAAAATTGTTTTTTTCAATAAATTGAATATTGTCTAACTACTTCATCATAACGACCTTGTTCAATCATTCAGATATGAAATTTATTCTTTTGAAAGAAAGATATTTCTGTCAAGCAAACAAACAACAATCATATACTTTATTTGTTTTGTTTTCTTCTTCTGTGATTTTAGACCAATATAATTGTAATGAAATAAACAATGTCAAAAACTGGAAAATAATTTACAAATTAAATTAGTTCCATTACTATTATTATTATTATTACTATTAGTAGTAGCAGTAGTAGTGGTACTAAAGATCATAAAAATCCTTCCTTTATTCCAACGTAATAACCAAATTATTTGTTATGAGATGTATTTAGTAGCAAGAGTAAAATGAAGCATACATCTCTCACTTTTCTAATTATTTTTTTTTCATTCATTTAGTGTAAAAGTATCAAGTTAACTAACTAATTAAAGCAAAAATACATTATGATTTATTATCCTTATTATACTACTAATATATTCTATAATTATTAGTAGTAATGACTTGTGTTTATAATAAAATTATTACTATGATAATTGTGTGTTAATTCATAAACTCTAAATGGATGATCTCAATTACACGGTGTGAAATTATAATTTCTGTATATGGGTAGGTGAGTGTGTACGTGTGTTTGTGTGTGTGGGGGGGAGGGAGGGGTGACTATAATTCTTCCACTATATTAATGAGAAACAAAATAGATTAAAGAAAATATAAATGAATTTTCTTTTTGAGGAATAATGCTAAATTTTTTATTTCATGTTTATTACTATTAAAAAAAAGCATCAAATGTATCTACTCCTCCCCCACCCTCTCCCACCCCTCTCCCCCCCTCATCGTTTTTTTTCATGTTCTCATACATAATATTTAATTGAATTATGGAAGAAATTTATCATATCACTCTTACCTAGTTTATTTATGGAAAATAAATATTAAATTATTATTCTGATTTGAAGTATGGGGAACACTCATAATAATAATAATAGTGATAGTGGTAGTAGTAGTAATAATAATAATAATACCAGTAATAGTAATAATAATGATAAAACAATGAGATAACCCAAGTAATTTAATTACAAGTTGACATAGACAAAAATAACTTTAGGTGAAAATTAGCTTAAAGGTTAGTGTATTCATGAACTATGCTATTAGATCATATTTATTATGATTCTGAATAAATAAACGATGTTAGAGTAGTATTATATTCATCTATGGTTAATGAATTTAATATCAAACCGTTTATTATTTCTATAAAGCTTGTGATAATTTCCCCCTTTTTTTCATTCTGTGAAAAGAAATTTTGTTTCTAACATAATAATTTTGACAATACTATTGTTAATTGAATTGAATTTTCAAAATAGAAAACGTCAATCATTGAAGGTGAAGTTTATTTCTTCTTTTAACTTAATTTGTAATAAAGCATAAACTAGTTGGAAGTTTAATAGTTGAATTCATGATTCAATTGAAGCTAGACCATTATGGAAAACCTAGAAGTGTGAGACTGATCAACAGTGCACATCCACGATCCTGTGAGTGGAATTTGAAACCGGAACCTATCAGTCTCGCGCGCGAACGCTGAGCCTACATCCAACGGTGTTAATGTCTAACTTCAACTAATACACGAAATTGAGCGATACATCCACTATTGTCTTCAGTGAGTTACTATCACACAACAGACCTGCTTGAATTCCACTGGTCAATGCTTCTCACTAGAACTACAGGAAATAAGTCTTGGAGACTGTCACTAATGAGCATATGAAATCTTTCAGAAGCTAAATGATAACTAGACAGTTATTATGATAACTTAATTTTAAAAAATGTTTTATGGCTCAATTCAAGAAAAAACTAATCATTAAATTGCAGTACAAATAAACCATTGAAATGTTATAACCACAAATGTGGTTAATTTACGAAGGTATATAATTACTACTTACTGACAGTTATATTTGTCTTTGATTATTTATATCTGAAATTGGACATTTAGCATTACGGTCAACACAAGATGTTTAGATGAACCAAAAGGTTTCCTCCTTAAATGGGGTTAACACCATGGATTGACTTTAAGTTAATAGACTTTGAAAACCAGAGAGCATATTTCATCCAAGTATGATACTCGTTAAGAGGGAGTTCTCATAACCCCATTGGGTATTAAACCTACCATCTTCAACCCATGTGAAAATCGTGTTAACTTTAAATGACTTGATTAGGAACTCAGTGATTTTATACGACACACGACCACGCCTTGCGAGATTCAAAACCAGGATTTATCAGTATCGCGCGTGAGCGCCTAACCACTAGACAACTGAGCCGGTCGGAATCCAACAGTGTTAATTTTTAACTTCAACCAATCCATGAAATTGAGCAGCACATCCACCATTGTCTTCAGTGAGTTACTATCTCACAACAGACCCGATTGAACTCCACTTATCACTGCTTCTCACTAAAACTTTAGGATATGCCTCTTGAAGCCAGTCACTAGTGAGCATATATTGATGTGCACTGTGGATGCGTACTGCTGTGGAGTCCTGCAATTGGGCAAAACGGCTGTCCAGTGCTTAGAGGTTTTTCATGGTTGTCTAGCTTAATTACTTGATAGTTTTTTTTTCTTAGTTATCTAGAATTAGACTTATTTTGTACTGAAAGTCATATAGAACAAAAGTATGGGCTTTAAAAAAAGGCTTGTAATGGTAAATATTGGTTGTATTATTTTAAATTCCATCGGAAATTATACTTTCATACGAAATGGGTGTACATCTCGTTAACCTCAACATCATATTTTATAGTTGCTTCAAATAATTTTCATCCTTTATTACTGTATATTTTTGAAAATATTTGATGAACCTATTGTTTTAACAACTTTTGAAAACTCAATTACATTGTCAGTGTTTATAATCTTCAATCTGTTTAATCATCATTATGTAATAGAAAATATGAATTAGCTTATTAAATACTTACTATAGTTTTGTACAAATGGATTACATTGAGGTTGTAAAAATGTCCATAAGATACCTTCACCTGACATGCACTCACTTTCCAAAGTCGAATAAACATGAGGTTCACAGAGGACCTATGTAGAAATAGGCAAAAAATTATTATGTGGTGTAGTCATTATATATATGAAGTAGCCTTAAATAGATGATAAATTGTCATTCACAACGTAAGCATTTCAATATTGGATTTTCTTAAAAACTTTATATTTTGTGTTGGAGAGTCGTCCAATTCTAATACTGATACATGAGCTTCTTATAAGGGAACCCAACTATCTACTTGAGTGAGAAACCCAAGAGTGAGCAAAACTTCTAATGGGCAACCTGGATCGAAATATATGCATGACCCCATTCTTGAATATAGATACATGTCTTCTTTATATAATTAAAACGAATCTTCAACCGATAGCGTGTTTGTGTTCCCCTGGATAATTAAGCTAACACCTGATCAACAATGTGCTCATCACCATCTCATACTTATCGTTTCGCTCTTGACTGATATCGGGTTCGCGCAGCCTATCACCACTTCATATGATTTACAAGCTTTGCATTAAAAATAAACTTTGTATGTTATGTTTAATATAGATTAATTAACCTAAGTCACAAAAGAAGGGACGTATTAACCATTTTCAGCATAATTGATATCTGAATTATGCATTGGAACACCTTTTAGAATGAATCATGTTGATTATTAATTCACTTGCAATCAGATAAATTGTTTAGCTACATCGAAACTTAAACAGATGATGTGCTAGACAGAAATGTTATCACAATATCATTTTCTGAATGAAAATTACTAGGTTGGAGTTCTGGAGTGTACATCGAATCTGGTGTTCATGTGCATTCAGCTGACGAATCCTAAATGAGATGGGATGCACGTCCTGAATTCCACTGCCGTCCACATTCTATCTATTCTATATCAACTTGTCTCATAATGAATATACTTGAGGCGATCCGCAAAAAATCTACATATCCCAAACAAGATTGATCAAATTCCTGTCGAAATATCAACAACGGAGTAATTCAGACCATCAGAAATCAAACTGATACGAAATATGTAGTTTATCTAATTAAATCAATTAATAGTTTCCATCGGGGACCAATCTTAGTTACACATTTACTGAAAACCATGAGACGCTTGACAGATGCATTACGCATCTTTCACTCCACAAGGGATCAAGCCCAAGACATTTACACATCTCAATGAGCAATTAACCTAAAACCAATAAGCTGGCACTAAATGGTTTTCACTTCTAGCTTCAATAGATATCTAACGATCATATTTCAACGCCATTGGTGGGTAACTGCCCTACATCCACTACTATTGAACTACTATGATGGTAGCCTTCCACCAGAACTTCTGGAGTTAATCCTCGCTGAAAGAGATCGGAAGAGCCTACCGTCAGTTCCAGGTGGGATCGATTTCTTTGACCAGATACTACAAATGAAGTATCTGGATTACCGAATGGATACAGATGATGAATTAATCATTACATTTTAAAGATCAAAATTATGATCGATATTAAATAGAAAGTATCTTTGTATTGTTAAAAGACTTCTATCTGAAGTTTGTGCTTATGATGTTGTTCAGAAGAACGATGACAGCTCCACCACCAAACCATTCAGCTCAGAGAACAAAACTCCATCAAAAATTGTATTGTTAACTTAAATGATATAAGTAATGATCAAACACATCAGATTTTATAATAATCATACGAGTAGTTTACTCAAAATATATAAAAACTGACTTCATTATTTTTTAAATCTAGTATTTGACTTATTTGAAATCCACCTGATATTGGGCATAATGTCTTGCTAAGTTCTGTATTTGGAGATAGACCTAAAATTTTAAAAGAATATAATGATAATAATAAACTAAACAGTACCACGTAAATACTAGTCATTTTATAATAAACAATATTCAAATTAGATTCCATAAAATTCTAGTGAGAAGTCGTGACCAGCGGAGTTTAATCCGTGTCAGTCGGAGACAGTTATTCACTTCACACAATGGATAAAGGGTTGCGTAAGATCATAGATCGATTGAAGCTAGTTGCTAGCTGAGTGGTCTAGAGGTTAAATGTTCGCACTCGAGATTTGAGGTCCTGGGTTCAAGTCCCTCGTTAGGGGTCGTGGTTGCACATTGCTAAGGAATCCCATACTAGGACGAAACGGACATCCAGTGCTTCCAAGTTTTCCGTAGTGATCTAGCTTAAATTAACTGATCAATTCAACGATTAAAATATGCAATTTATTAACTAAGGAAGTTAGACAGTTAACACTAGTGGGATTCGATAGACATCACGTCATACCACCAGTAGATTTACAGTGGAATCAATGACCACTGGATTACAACTTAATGGTCTTAAGGATAAGAGTTAGCTGTGGGTGTTTTTGGTCCTGAGTTTTATTCCTATCAGGAACATGGTGTGTCATGATGAGGAGTTTTATACTAGGATAGAAAAGTCGCCTTATCATTTCCACCTTTTTAATGGTACTCTCAAATGATACGAGTCCTTGACAGATACTACCGACGAATCAACTCATCAAATGAAACTGTAAATCTCATTATTTTGTGAATAATATTCATGGTCTATTAAAATATTGTTTTTTGGAAGTTAAAAATCAATTTTATCACTTCATAAACAACTTAATATTCCGTATAGGTTGATCTCACTTTGGATGGTGTAAAATCAGAGAAAACTGAACAGCTGTTTTATCATAGTATAGGATGCCTCAGCATTGTACACCCATGACCATGAAGAATAAACTCAGTAGCTTCAGATCTTGTAGAAAGCGCATAAACTTCAGGAAATTGGGCTTGTTTACTGGTAAGTACTTCCAGGTTTAATTAATTTGTGAGGATACTTCGTTGACATTGGTTATGGCTACTTCTTTCCCGATATACCTGAAATCCGCTGGTCACAACTTCACAGCAGCAACTCAGAAACTGATCTAGAAGTAAGTCTCTAATAAGATGAAAATTTTCAATTTACATGAGTGTCTTGTAGACATAAATTCAATTTATAGGTAATATTCTACATAGATTGATATCAGTTAAGAGAACACTAGATAGTTGTTTCAGAAATTTATGGAATTCTAGTGTGAAATCATGACTGTTGAACTTTAAACATACTTAGAGAGAAACGCTTTTGACCAGTAATAGTCCGACTAAATTGAACATTGATTATATTTTGAAATATTTACCATTTGATATCAACCCAATGATTCTAATGATTAAGCTTTTCTAGCGAAACGTGAATGTTTTAGGTTCAATATAATAATAACTTTGTAGGTTCACATTTTTAAAGCATCCTATTTTATAATAAACTAACTGTCCATATCTCAACTGAAATGAATCTATGTGGAATATCATCAACATCTACATTAAAAAATATGCAGTTATTTATCATATTTAAATACGTTTTAAGATACTATTCAGCTTACTTACTGGCAATCCATTTTGATGAATCATATTTAAACGCTGTAGGATGACACAATGTTAAATCCGCTGTAGGTGAGGTATATTCACCTATTTATTAAAAAAAGAGAAACAAAATAAAATAATGAATAATTTAGTTACAATTTACTAAACCTCTTATTAGACTTGAATATAACTACATGTATCACATACTTAGTTACATATTCTATTCATTCAATAACCATTAGAATGCCTACAATCAGTGACTATGTGACGTATGTAATCACTTATCTCAACTAATCGGATTGTATTGTGTTTCGTATCATGAGTGTGTGTAAAGAGTAATTTATAAATAGTATAACATTACCCCCCCCCGCAACATCAACACCATTCTGATGTGTAGTACATTGTCATTAACATAGTTATTAGTATACTGATTAAAAAGTATCGAATTACAGGTTTTTCATATTGGAACCGGTAAAGATATCAGTTTGTATATGAAAATTCGGTTTAATTTAAATACTACTAATCTATAAATTATTTTAGAATTAAAATATAACCTAAATGTTACCTAATGTAAAACTAACTAAATAATTGAAGTTATACTAGGATAGTGTTTCAATGAAGTATGTAGATTTGAAGATTATATACTACTTACTTATCTCATACAGATAATACATAACTTAGATACGTTGTTCTAAACGGTTCACACGAACAAGGATATGAACGTGTTGTATCCCGATAAGAATAAATGAATATTATTAATAAAGAGGAATTTAACTTTCTAAAACCTATGGGTTCCGAGTACCCTCATTTATATGGACTGCCTAAAATTCACAAACCTAATGTTCCTTTACGTCCAATTCTATCAATGTGCAGATCACCTACACATAATCTGGCTAAATGGTTAGCAAAGTTGTTGGATCCTATTCGAAGACATCTATGTAAGTATTCTCTAAAGGATTCTTTTGAACTGGTTGATCATTTAGATGATATTCATATCAAGGAAAAGACAATGTGTTCATTTGATGTAAATTCCTTGTTTACAAATGTACCTTTAAAAAAACCATTGATATATTATGTGATTACATATCTGAAAACAATTTTCAATCACGTGTACCTGTAAAACTTCTTAAAGATTTACTATTACTATGTACTGATAAAGTTCAGTTCACTTTTGAAGGTGAATACTTTCGTCAGACTGATGGGGTTGCTATGGGTAGTCCGCTAGGACCATTACTAGCAGATGTGTTCATGGCAAATGTTGAAAATCAGACTGATGAATTAATCGGAAACATGTCACTTTATAAGAGATATGTGGACGATATCTTAGTTGTTTGTGAGAAAAAAGAGGATATGTACGGTTTATTAAATAAACTCAACACTCCAAAACCATATTAGTCTCTCATGTGAAGAGGAGAAAAAAGATCAGCTTCCCTTCCTAGATATACTCCTGAGTAGACGAGAAGATGGTTCAGTAAAGCGACCTATTTTTAGAAAACCAACGTGGACAGGTCAATATCTTAGTTATTATAGTTATTGCCCTGTGCAATACAAACGTGGTTTGATAAGGTGTCTTATCAACAGACTCGACCGTATTTGTACCAATGACGCCATTGATGATGATGTTAAGTTGTTAAATAAAACGTTAATAGAAAATGGCTATCCTCTGAAATTCATAAATAGATGGAAAGTCCATGGTTCAGCGAGACCTACTGTAGCCTCGGTAGAGAAAAAGCCTGTCTACATCACCTTACCATTCAGAGGTGATTCAAATAGCCTTTTACTGAAACAACGACTTAAATCAGTCATCAATAAAACCTATTGCGCAGCAAAGGTCATCATCAAAGAAAGAACAAGGTGCATGCTTCATTCAAAACCTAAAGTACATGGAAACGATTGCGTCACATCCCACTGTGTTTACCAATTTAAATGTGTGTGTGGTCACACATACATAGGGAGGAGTAATCGTGATCTCAACATTAGGGTGAGTGAACATGTACCCAAATGGCTTCAGAAACAAATACAATCAAGTGACCTGATAAGAGCAGAGGATAAACATCCATCATCCTCTATTGCTAAACATATAATTGAAATAGGTCACAAGATTGATCTAAATTCAGCTTTTGTAGTGCTGTATAAAAGTGTAAAAGGGCGTATACTAAGGTTCATTGAAGCCTTAGCCATACGAAAATTCAAACCCATTTTATATGTTCAAAAACAGTTTGTTCTTACCTTAAACCTACCCTGGTAATATTGACTTATTATCCAGAGTGATTAGGTTTCAAATTGTGTTCACATTATTATTATTATTACTCTTATCATTATCTTTATCTCCTCTTACCCCGTTTCCTGTCTAGTTGACCTTTTATTTTTATATATAAATGCTCTTAACAAGTATATGTGTGACCAGATTGTTCGAAATGTATTGCGCTAATATATCACAGTTCTGATAATCTTCGTCTTCTAATATCATTATCGAAATAAATGAATGGTAATTTTTGGGATCCATTTATGGACCAATATTACGAGTATATTTTTATCGTATAATTGTTACGTAACTAAACTGTTCATATCCCTCTTATTGTGAGCTTTGTTTTGACCTATGAACTATTATTAACCGATTTACCATTCATGAATTATTCCCTGTCTGTTGATCGCTACCTCCCTCGTTCACAGCCACATCTGGCTAATTCCTGTACAAATGTTGTTTCATATTTTATTGGTACGTTGTGGTCGGTTTGATTGGTATATAAACTCAGTATGCTTGAAATATAATGATTCATATCTCAGAGGCTGAGACTTGCGTTTTGGACTCAACTGGCTGGGCTAGACAAGGAAGCGGGACCAATCAGAACTCTAGACTGCTCATACGGTTTTACGTGTCATTGATCCGATCGATAATACGCTTTGCTCTAATCTGCAGTCCACAGTCACAACAGAATGAAACAGTGAGTAAAAAGGAGAACATATCAATGAATGCAATGAATAATGAGGTTGATCACCTAAAAGGTACAATGAATTGTTATCAAACTCGAAACATTTTACGTACCTTGTTGAAAGTAGATTCCTCATTAAATATTTAAAAACTATGTAGTAGTAAGCGTACGAAAGATAAATCGAACAGATTTCACAACTTTAAAAATGTTATTCCCCTCTTTGATACTCATTTTTATTATTATACGCCTCTTTGATAATTACTGTTATCATTGCTTGCCTTCGTTAATGACCTCTCTTTTATCAACCGCTTTCTTTCGCGTTTTTATGAATGAATACCATTTTAAACGGAGCGATATATTTTACTCGCTTATATCATCCTTTGCATAATGTCTCTCCGTCAGCCGGACAAAAACATTGAGATACATCAAAGAATTTATATATTTCTATCCGATTCATGTAAGGAACCCTTATTTCGTGATTTACCAATGCTTTCTCCTCAAAAAGTAACAATTAAGCATTGAACACTACAATAAAGCTATTCAAAAGATAGTTTTGTCTGAAAAATATACCTGGCTAGTTGCCAGAATATTAAAAGAGCAGGAACAATACACCGATGTCTGTATGAGATTCGCAGTTATGAGTGTGGGGAGTTTTGTGGAAGCTATGAAATTTCCAATCACAAATTGATCTTAATTAAGCAACCTTTGGAAACCTGGAACCACTGCACGATCGTTTCGTTCTATTGTTGAATTCCTCTGTAGTGATCATCAATAACCTCGTGAAAAGAACTTGAACATAGGACCCACGGTATACTAAATCAGCGTGTCTAAATTCAATCAATTTACAATATAGTTTATGGTGGATAACTATATCACGCTCGACATGGTTAAACTCCACTGGTCACAGCTTCCCACAATCAACCCAGAAGCTGGATCTAGAATACGTTATTTGTGGAGATTAAATATTTCTCATTACATAAACTGCACTAATTAATAATAATCACAACAGTAATTTCTGTTGTGGAGTCATAGACGCATACTAATGTGAAGAGTCCCACACAGGGACGAAAACAATTGTTTAGTGCTTCCGTATTTTCAATGGTTGTTTATAACCTGAAATCCATGAAGATTATGCAATGATTTAACCCTAAATAAGTCATCTTACAGTAATGATGTACAAAAAAAGGCTGATATATTAATAGAAACGTAGAGTAGAGAATCAACATACACTAGTCAACCTAAACCTACTTTATCATAATCTTTTCCATACACGATTGATACTTTATAAGTAGAGAGAGATATAAAAAGTCATCAAATGAAATGTAAAATTAAAACAAACTGATAAAACATGTATTCATTAGTGAACTCACTTAAAAATAGATTAAACACTGATACTGAATCTATTTCATTGATAAGTTCAAATTTAACACATTGATAAATGGATCTGGAAAACAATGAAAAAAATTTTTTAAAAAAAACATTTTTCTCCGATCTTATTTTCAAAAGAAAAATAACCGATCAATCATTTAATGTGTATAATGAAAGAATAAAAAATGATAACAGATCATAGATACTAATTAGCATTATTATCAGAAAGGATTTTTTGTGGATATTATAGTAATTTTAATGGTTGAGATCATGAGTCAGTTGGAGCTAGACCACTATGGAAAGTCCGGTAGCACTGGATGGCCGTTTCGTCCTATTGTGGGACTCCTCAGCAGTGTGTATTCACGATTACACCTTGCAAGATTCGAACCCAGGACATATCAGTCTTGCGCGCAAACGCTTATCCTCTAGACCATTGATCCGGTATTCAACGATGTTAATGTCTAACTTCAACCAATCCACGAAATTGAGCAGCACATCCACCATTGTCTTCAGTGAGTTACTATCTCACAACAGACCCGATTGAACTCTACTGGTCACAGCTTCTCACTAGAACTCCAGGATTATTAAAATGAATTGTGTATTTCATCAACCAGCCCAAATTGTATATCGGTGAAATCTCTGAGTAGATGTACAAAATTTGTTTAAATTTATATCAGTACATGTCAATTAATAACTGTTATTCTAAAAAAAGTCGAGTTTAGCGCACAGATATAATAATTATTGATGTCCCTCTATGTTTATCCAAGAATTATTTCATATAAACAAAGATGAATGGTGCATAGCAGTGGAATTCAGGATGCGTGTTTCATTCTATTTGGGATTCGTCATCTAGACGTATCTCCATCTCAGAGTTGATGTTCACTCTAGGACTCGAATCCACTAATCTTTGCTTCAATCTCCACCGCGTTATCCACTCAGCAACTGAATGCTGATAGACATTTGCTTGTGCAATTAGGTGTAGTTCAAATTCACTTGGTATTGTTTTACTTGAATTTTCTCATTGATGTTCAGGGCTGTAATTAACTAGTCTCATATTCGTGTATATGCATTCTGTACAAATTGCTTTGATATTGTCTTAATTCATAAGCATTATAAGCAAAGATGGATAGTGGGTAATAGTGGAATCCATGATATATGTTTCGTCCAATCTGGGACTGACCAGCTGGATGTACCTGCATCTCTGAGTTGATGTTCACTCTGGAACTGGACCCAGCACACTTCCCTTCAAATAACCAATACAAAAATGAATCAATTATTTAATGTTTTATTTCAGAATTTTATCCACTTCTTTTGAACTATTTGACGTATGTTGATTTGTTTTATATATTTTGTATTTATTTACACTTACATCAATAATTTAAACTGCGTTAAACTGCGATAAACACTCTAGTAAATACTATATGCCCCCAAATGCCCTGATACGGCCGAGAGTGGGGAGAGTTCACTCTCCCTCTCGAAATGGTCTCACATGGCCACGCGTATACAGCCTCTGCCACGGAAGTCCTACTCACTGCCTTCTCGTGGTGGGGGTGTTGTTTACGAAAATGAGAGGACGAAAAGCAAATGTCCGGCACTTTGACCGGATTCCAAATCAATGGTGCACATGGACTCCAGTATCCTGCGGGAACAAATGGCGTATGAACCAATCGTTGGTCACCGGCTTCCATGGGACTGCATCTCCTTACGATGCTCCACTGTCTTGTGCATCAGACCTTCAGGTCGAAGGCTCGGGGAGTGCCTCCCTAAGAAAACCACCTGCTTCGGTTTGGGCACCCGGGTAGTATCACAGCCTTCACACATATCTAATGAGATTTGTGTTGCGCATATATATTTGGTGCCTCCTTGAACTAATATCTATGTGTTAAAATAAATGAATAAAATACTATATAGATTATGCTCTTTGTCTAAATTGACTTAAGGCAATATTTAATTCAAATCAGAAGTAAAACTTTGTTTTTAATAAGAAGAAAATGAACAACAATGTAAATGGTATAGTTTGTTAAAATCCTTGAAACTTTAATATGAATTCGAGCTGGTTAGTTCTATACTTTAATAGTTGTTTATTACACATTTGATAAAAAAAATTACTGAACATATATCAATATCTTGTTTACAGTCATTATTTTATTGAAATGTCCATTGAAGTGATGTATATATCATTGCCTGAAATCTCTTCCTGATACTTGTATTCTTACTGACCAAAATCAAATCAATAATATTGTCTCATTTGTCTAGATAGTTAAATAAAGGTATTATGAATAAAACTGAACAACTACTTGAAAGAAGCCTATATAGTCATTAAATCTAAAATAAACATCATTATGATAATATATAGATTAAAGGTTTTGTTTTCATCTATTATCGGTAAACGTATTGAGGTGAAAACTCTAAGCTAACATATACAACACATGTATGTAACAGGAAAAGTATTCATTTAAACAGTATTACTTATGTAGTGTACAAATGTGTTGGATTTTTGGGATTTTTGTTCAATCTGCAAATAAATGCAAATTACAAACAATTAAGATTATTAGAAATTTCAATAGTTGAAATCATGAATCAATTGAAGCTAGACCACTATGGAAAACTTGAAAGAACTGAACGGCCGTTTCGTCTTAGTATGGGACTCTTCAACAGTGTGCATCTACGATGCTGCTCCCACGAGATTCGAACCCAGAACCTATCAGTCTCGCGCTGTGAGGAGTCCTATACTAGGACAAAACGGCCATCCAGTGCTTACAGGTTTTTCATGATGGTCTAGCTTTAGTTGACTCATGATTTCAACTATTGAAATTTCTAAAAAAATCTCCACAAAAACCCCTTCTAATTAAGATTATTCTTAATACAAATAGAATCTATTGTGAACTTGACTTTACAGCAGATGACACAATACTGTAACAATAATTATCCAAGATGAAATCTGAAAAGAAAGTAACATTGTAAGAGAAAAGTTTATATATAGTAGTGATAAACTAAAATGGAATAACAACCAAATATGATCTTGGGATGAAGAACACTTAGCAAACTAAAAAACAAGAAAAAAGATAATAAAGGGAATATGAATATTGTGCTTTTGGTTATCATTACAAACAAACAAACAAAAGAATTAACACTAATTCACAGAATAATGTAATCTGGAATCATTTTAGTAACATGGTAGTTTTCAAGTGGATTAATTATATAAAGTTTACATCCCCTTAAACGAATCATCATCCAAATATCTTAATATCATTAAGTTGATTAGTTATAAAGTAAATAAGTTAACTGTTATGATCCTGTGGCTAAACTATGAATACTCTAATCATTATATTTAGCTTGAATTTGTCAAATCTATGTGCATTTATCAATTCAACTGCTCCTGTGAAACTAGTTATATAGGGCATATAATTCAGTAAGTTCGTCATTGTATAACAGAGTATCATCCGTCGGGGTTGAGTAAAGAATAGGTAAGAGTGATTAAGAGTCCAATTCTCGCTAACTTGGTTGACACAGGTCATCAAGTTCAACTGAATTAATGAACCTTAGAAATGAACTAGTGGATAATTTACTACGTATCAGTTACTACTTATTATAATATGTATATTTTGTTATTTCTATTTTCATAATTCTAATTAAATGTCTAATATAGTGTTCAAAAAAACTAGTTCAAGACAACAGATTATAATAATCATATTGTACATAACTGAACTAATCGTTTGAAATGTCAACAATAAGAGATTTTCAGTTTATTTATGTGAATCAGTATTGTATGATAATATTCTATATAATTAAGGTATTCAATGTCCGTTGGCTGGATACCATCAGCAACAGTCTACTTTGGAAGAGGACAAATCAACTTCCAATTAAACAGGAAATTAGGAAAAATTATTGAAAGTGAATAGAACATACATTACAAAAAATCACTAAACTGCATCACAAGGCAATCGCCTAGTACTTGGAGTTTTGAAAGGAAACAGAAAAGAAGACGATGAAAGAATACACTAAGTTACAAAATGGTAACAGATATCAAAAGAATGAATAACAACTAGAAAGGATTACCCCATTACAGAGTTGAGTGAGGAATACTGGCAAAAGGCTAATGTTCCTCAACGAGGAATAACATGTGTAAATAAGTAAGTAGGTAAGTAAGTATTCTACACAATTCTTTCAATTATTACTTCTCTTCATAATCATTTTCTATTTGTTTTATTCATCAATTGTCCTCTAGTCTAATTATAACCGTAACAATCACCACTGTATATAACAATTTCAAACAACCACAAGTGTGAACTACTCATCTATTCACATTCTAATAGTACATAACAAGTAAATGTTAAATTTTAATTAAAAAAAAAACCGGAAAAATTACTGAAGAGAATTAACAAAGAAGAAAAAAACTAATAATAAATGAATAATAATTTAATAAAATTAAAAAAACTAAAAAAAAACGTAAACGTTTCCCTAAATGATTCAAATGTCATTAGTTGCTATTTAGATCAGTTTCTTTTTTTAAAATATAAATCATTCGACTGTACAATGTTTTTCTGTTTTGTTTTGTTTTTTCAATTTTTTTTTGTTTTAATCCATTAAAAATGGTATTCACAAAAAGTTACCGCTTAAATTAATAAACCATTTAAAAGTAGATTAAAATCAAAAAAATAAATAGTTTTCCGGTTTAAAGAAAAAAAGAAGAAAAACAACAACAACAACAACAACATCAACATCAACAATGACGAGAAAAACGCCATAGTGATTATAGTATTTATTAAAAGAGAAATAAATAAATGAGTAAAGGAAATTATTTGAAAACGTATCAGATTAAAGAGGGGGATTGTTGTTTCTTTTTTGTTCTTAGTAGAATGATACAAATAGAATGTATGTTAGAATTAAAGATGCGCCAACATTATTCTTCTTCTTATTATTATTATTATTAGTTAAGGCTTTTTTTAATTCATTTAGATGGGTTGTGTTTTTCTTTTTGATTATCTTGTCTTGTCTATTTTTTCTTTCTTTTTCTTTGCTTTCTATTATGAATTTATTTGCTTTACTTCTTTCTAGAAGGAAATTTTATTTCCA